GATCACCCCACACATTGAGGAAGAGTTCCTCTCAACGGACAGTAGCAAAGCAGAAACAGAGTTGGGGATCGAATGGCGCTCTTGGGGCCAGATGGTGCGGGATGTGGTGGACCAACAACTATCATTTGTGAAAGGTTGAGAACTTGGAAATCATCTATCATGAGAGGGCAGGACTTCAGCCGGTTTCTAAAACCTCCCTGAACTGATACGGGATGAGTGGGGGAATCGAGTCTCACTTTTGTACCAATAAGTGCAGGCAAAAAGTTGGCTTTCTACTGGGGCCCACCATGAAGTAACCGTACACCAGAAAGATTTGTCTTCATTTACTTACTCTGCAACCCATTTGCCCGGGTAGAATAGAATCGATCATTTCATCAACGTAGCGCCGTATTAAACCTGTAACCAATGCTACCACATCCTCATCACGAGAGGTGTTCACCGACGGAAGATCTCACACGAGGAACGAATTTGTTCAATGTGCTCACAGTCTTTTAAGAATGTGGAGTACTTGGCCTGGCATTTATGGCTATACACCTAAGAGAGGCCGTTGACCAGCGAGGTGTGTGGCAAGGTCTGCGTCAGACAGTACGCCTGACCTATGTATGGGGGTTAGGATGAATGACCGAGCGCAGTTAATTAGTACTCAATATGGACTTTATATTACAGTATTCGAGATTTGCAACACGTTAAATACTTAGTGGAATATATAAATAAATAAGCATAATGGTATTACAGTGGGAGGTACCACCGCCGATAGCGCTAATGAGCACCAGAGTCCGTTGATGAAGCCACCTGACGTGCAATAGCCCTTGGCTTGTAATATCGGACAGACAGGGGATTTTGACCGAAAGTTGTGGTTAACGGGAATGGATTCTGACCTCGAGACGCTGAATCAGTTAATAGTTGAATCGACGCAGATGCACCTGGGCCAATATTTCAGTCTGGCCCCTCTCTTTCCGAGTTCTTTGCAAGTGATCATCTCCACGCTGAAAGGCATTAGAGTGATGAACCCTGGTACAGAAACTTAATCTATTCTTATACACAGTAGTAAGACCCCTACAGATCCGAGAATGGTTGAAATGCTCTACGCCTCGGTCATAATTCTTGTAGCGCCTCCAGATGATATATAGATCCCGAGTACCCGAGTGTAAGTATGGATATATATTTTGACCTGAGTGAGAGAAAAGGTACTAAGGCTCAACCAACATACTCCCATTACTGAATATGGTTGGAGATCCGGTATAATAGAGAAAAGAAGTGTTTTGGCTGCTAGAGGACGGAGCCAAAGTCGAATAATAGATATATCAAAGTGACATCGCTATGCAAATGATAAACATCATGCAAATGAAAACAAAACACAAGCAATCTTATCAGCCGTCAAACCCAGCCCTCCTCATGATTACATAAAAAGCACAATCTCTCCCCGGTCATTTCTCTTGATGCGCAGTGTACGCCAAAGGTCTTTCTCGTCTTCACCTCTCTGCTCGTGGTCAGCACGGCTGCGCCCTTGCTCACGACCTCGGTCGTCATCAAATTCGTCGGTGAAGTCACGATGGAAGCGCTTCAAGACCTTGTTCACAGAGAATCCTCGCTGGCTTTCGGGACCCTTGGTCACCAATGACAAGAAGTGAGAAGCCATCTGTCGCTGTAGGTCACTAGGAATGTTCGGCTGCCCATAGACCACGACCTGGCGGCCGTCATCCCCGCGTGGGGACTCGGTACGGGAACCGTTGACATATTCGATCTGCTTGAGACGCTGAGACGGCCGACCATCCATCTGGGCGCTACTCTTGCGCTTAGACTTGTGCGAATCAGATGCCACACGGTTCGACTTCCTGGGTCGTATATCACCATCATCTGATGAGCCACGCTTGCTTTCCGCAGGGCCTCCAAACATGGAAGATACAAGGCGCTCAGCACGGTTCTTCATCGAGATGCCCAAGCCGGCATCAGAGCCATCCTTGTCATCACGACGAGTACGCTTGATGGGAGATGAAGGGTCCTGGTAACGCCGGCGAGGATGATCGGCGTGATCATTCTCAGCTTCCAAGGACGGGGATCGAAGCATCCGACTCAAACCACCTGTTAACCCGGAGTGGTTTAGCATGGGCGTGCCTGGGTGGTTCACAACGCTAGATGGTGCTTCCATCATAGGGGTATCGGCGTCTTCAAGTTCCTGGTCTTCATTGTGGCGCTTTCGCTTCTTCTCACTGGTGACGGCGCCCGTCTCAGTCTTGCGTGAACGATCCTTCTTCTTTTTCGGCGCCGGGGTCATAAATTCCATGGAAGCGTTCGCGGCTTTACTTGGGTATGCCGATGGTGGAATAGGACCGGAGCCGTAAGAATACCCATTTTCCTCGTATGGCAGATCATACTGCTTATCCTCATCCGTGCCGCCGGGTTCGTAGTGGGCCAGCGCCTTACTGGATTCAAAAACAGAAGGGGCGTGATCAACCATTTGCATCTGCTCTTTGGGCTGATTGAGTGAGACTTTAGATGCGTTCGGCGTCTTCTCAGCAACTAGGAAGTCGAATACATTGACCTGTTTAGAATCGTCTCTCTGAGGAGTCCCCGACGTGACGGGAGGAGTAGGGGCGGTGGGTAGCGCGGATATGTTCTCCTTCGACTCAGGAGCGTCCTCGACGTATGGTGCTCGGTGACCATTCGTAGTAGGCTTCGCGTTCTGCTTTGGATCGTTCTTGCCTTTTTGGTTCCTTTGGTTCTTCGCTTGTTTCGGCTTATATAGAGCGCCCTCATACTTCTGAGCCTCGGTCATGCATGACTTAAGTCAAGTTAGCATCGACCAATCAATGATAGTACGTTGTTTAATAAGTATTGGTTATCAAGAAGCCCCTCGCCGTTGACGCCTACCCGATACCCCTGCGACAAGCTGTAAAAGCAAAGATGCTATGTGATCGCACTGAGAACCAGTAGTGCGCTTAAGACGGCGAGGGCGATCGAGTAGCATCGGACTGATAGGTAGGGCACTTAGGAAAAGAAAATCATATCCATACCGTATGTGATCTATAGCTGGTGCCCTGGAAATGGACCATACAGTCAATGCAGGTGAAGGATGCGCCGCGACATTGGTTGCGATGAGGATCGAGCTTCTTCTTGGTGAGAATATCACCGCAAGCCTAAGGTTAAGAGGGAAAGGTTAGCAAACACCGTCCATTTAAGGTTTGTCCATAACATCTGGACATCCGAGAACGAATAAACGTCTTGTCCAACTCACCTCGCATGAGAACGACACCATTTTGAGCCCCGCTATATAATCCACTTATAAGATGGCAGCACAGTTACTGGTGGGTACTATAACCCAAGCAACAAAGTAAAAGTGGAATAAAGAAAAATACTTGGCAAGCACGCTGTCTAGCGCTGCGAAATACCAGGCACAAGAATCAGTTACGCGATCAGCTATTTGCGACTGATAAAGATTGTCGCGCGGCGTGGCAGGATGAGCCGAACGCAAAAATGACTGCCAACCCTTTCGTTGTCGGGAGTAACAACACGAAGAATGCAAGCTATTTCCAATAGGAACAAAGGATATAAAGATCGCACAGCGCGATTATCAAAGGCACAGCGCTTGAAAAGGTGGACAACTCTGCTGTGTTTCTTTCTGTTGATCTTTGACTGCGTTTGTCTTTATCTTTTCTGGCGCGCGCATTTAAAAAAAAAAGAAAAAAAAAAGCGGAAAGGTTCCAAACACTGAGTGGCGCTAATACTATTTTAGTAATATAGATAGGCACCTATCTGTGTTGCCTTGAAAACCAGGCAAATATCCCCACAAGAGGACAACAGCGATTTCAATACTTAGTAGAAACTTGTGGAAAGGAACAAAGAAGATAAAAGTTTCAGGAGATCGAAAACAACTGCGGCGTATATACACCACAAAACTCTAGGGGGCTATTTGTACATTCGCTTCTGTGCAGTGCTTCGGATTGGTCTGAGCACGATCCCAAGATTAGATACATATATTGCGGTCAGGGAGAGCCAGGATCCCCACGCACCATGATATGATGATCTGTTGATCGCGGCTTCAAAGGGGTGTGTGTGGCGCCTGTACATCCAGCAATCAGCGTGGACTTGTCAGGAGACTCGCTCTGATTCCAATATGGAGGCGGACGAGCCATTCAGCGCCCACCGTCGCTTTTCAGCTTGCCAGTTAGCGTAGCGCCTATGGAGGGGCTATGCAGTTCGACAGAGAATAAGGCTTCGGGCACGGATTCTTGAGGCCATGTAGATAATAATAACAACAAGAAAACTGGTTCGTATGGTCGGGGCCCATCCATCTCTGACGAGACGACGACTGGCCTAGTCGAATTAACTTTATCTACTGGCTCTAGGTCCCGCGCCTTGTATCCCATGAGATCGAGAATACAGACAACGCCTATAATTACGATGGGAGGCTAATGTTTCGCTTTTCCTGGGGATAGTTTCATGATCTCGTATTCGGCAAAACCCCGCACTTTGACCATTCCAGGCGCCAAACTGTACTGTAGTCCCTCGTACTGTCATAGACGCGAACGGAAGGGGCCATTGAGAAGATAGACCCATGTTCCCATAAATGTACAATAGTGTGGTAGTATGAACCAAAAAGAAGCTTTCGGCAAAGAATAGTGGCCCATCCGGTTAAAGGCTACACTAGAGCTGCAGTTGCGCGCATGACTGCATCGGAGTACTACCTGTGACTGGTGCGGCTGACCAACAATTGGACAGTGCGTCTGATCGCTGGGATGTTACGCAGTGATGTAGAAGGTCCTTCTACAATCAAGCATCCGCTGTGTTGACAAGCACCACCTGAGCTCCCCTCAGCAAGGCACTCGAGTACATCTTTGGGATTAAATCCACTCTCCGGACGGTATATATGTACTGAGTATTATCTGGCTCCAGTATACTCCCAACGAGCCCGCGCAGGTAAAGTATAATCGAAGTAGTTTACAACATAGTATCTAGAAATTAGTTTCGAGACTAAAATTTCGAGAAACACCGCATAAGACTCAGCCCTGTGTAGTTCTGAATCTGTTGTCAGTCTAACATTATAGAGAGGTGTGGGGCGAAGTAAGGGGAAAACCCACGGTTCCTTGGAGATCTCAAAGCGCTGACTATTCGCAATATCGTCACTTTCTTTGGAGTCAGTATGGCTTCTACTCTTAAGCTCCTCGTTCTCGTCTTCGGTTTCTTCGTCCTTGGCGCAGCCGCAGTCGTAGAAGTCGCCGATCTTATTGCAGTCAAAAATAGGTTTTTTGAGCATGGTATTGACCTCGTTGTGGATAAAGCAACCCCATCCCGATGCAGCGTTGCGTGACGACACTTGCGGAGGATACTTCTTCAAGTGACCTTGGAAATGAGAGGCGCATTCGCCACTGATTTACGGTCAGTGTCATCGGGTATGCAGTCTGACGCGGAAGGTATATACCATGGATATAATCGCGCAAATAAATAAATGAATGAGCGCAAAGTTTCTTGTTGCTCCTCCGTCGGATCTTCTGGATATCGTGCCAGCATAGTATGGAAATACTTCCACGTAGCGCGCCCTAATTCCGCCCTAGCATTTCCCCATGCAATCAGTATAGGTTCAGATCCCACCAGACCAAAGTGTGTGTGACATACTTAGCCGTCTCATTGCCCAGCTTCGGCATCACCACCTCGCCTTTTACCATATCATCCTTTGTCAATGTTGAATGAGACGGTTTCTCCAGGTGACCAGGGGCTCGGATCGCGGGGCTCGGTGGGCCTTGAGGCCGGACGAAGAAGACAAAGAGAAGGAAGATTGAGACCGTAGTGCCAAGTAGTATTCGCCTTGTGATATGGCGGTTCGCCATGTTTGAAACGAGGAGCTTGATGTGAGGTAGCAACCGTCAATCGGGGGTATGGGCCAATGGATTGGAATTCCAACGGAGGTTGAGATGGAATTTCTCGAGTCAGGATTGGTCTTGGTTCAAATGATCGGAGCTAGATTCGGGTAAATGAAATTAACATTAAGGAGAGACTTGGGCAAAAAAAAAGTTGGCCAGAGGATTGTGGTTTTACTCCGATCTCCCTGCATGAGGGTATCCTTTGTTCCGAAGATCAGTCCACGTGTAGATAACACACACTTGTTTCACTTGTATTGCTTAGTCAGAAAGCCCTCAATGCAGGAATCAATATCTATTCCAGGTATTGTGCAGGAGTTATTCACATTTAAGAACTGTGTCATCATGTGGATATTGAAAACGATGCCGATAGAAGTTGCATTGAGCATATAGATAATGTATGCCAAGCAGCCAGTAGGAATGTACATGTGGAGATCTATTTGATGGCGTATCTTCAGCGCCACACTGATACTACTGATAAACAGTCACAACTACAATAGATGCAGCTTTCCACCACCAACAAGTCGGTATATGAGCTGAAGCAGAAATTAACAAGGGGACTCTTCTCAGCTTGAAACTATGGCTGACTACTAGTAGCAGGAAAGGAAGATGTATGGACTGACGCAGGCACACGAGTTGACAATGATACTACGATAGTGGCAGAACGAAGGCCAATTCCCATTCAGGGTAATCCCTTTCCTCGTCATTGATAACGATAGGCTTGGAAATTATTGTATTATACCTACGTAGTTATGATCACCGTCTAGGAATCTCCAGAGCACAATGCCATATCTGAGTGATCGTCGTTGCCATTACCGTAAACGAGGCTAAGATAGGCAATTGCGCTTAGATAATCCTTTTGTATCTAACTTCTAGTTAACTAATTGTTCCGCAGCTTTTCCAATATCTGTTCACGGTTGTCCCAAAGCATACTTGCAGACTGGAAAATGGTATTTCTGAGGCCTTCTACTTTTCAATCTTTGATCCGTAATACTAGGACGCCTTTCCTACGGGTCCAACAAAGACGATGGGCGCAGGTGCACGATGTCCGCTTCCTCGCCACGCATCATGATCCAAAGTTTGTGTTGGACAGGTACCGAAACAAGTTGGATCAGAAAGCTCAGCAGTCAGTATTTCACGGGATAATTCAGTTTTACAATTTGCTTCTGAATTGTGTTACTAACTAACATGCTCTAACAGAGAAGGACACGAGTCCGTCGACTCACTGAAAGACGCCTACAAAGAGAAGATCGATGACTTCCGTCGCAAAGCGTCCACCATTGTCACTCCAGAACCCTCCAACCTACTCCCTCTCCATCGACATCCGCGGTTCATCCTCCTCCCCCGCCACCTTCTCCCCAAGCCAAAGTCGCATCTGAAGGCTCCGGCAAATCCTCCACAGGCATCAAGCCTCTCAGCTCCTACATTGATGTCGAGAAAGTCCTCGATCTCCCACCAAAGGAAATCGAAGCTATCTGGCGTCTTCGCCATGCCAGCAACCCCCACTCCGTCTGCGCCGTTATCCCGGTAGAAACATACCAGCGCATTTCCTCGGCCGCTCGCCAAAACCCCCAATTCGTCCTCCCCTTGCCCCGCACGCAAGCCGAGACCGAACAATCGGAGCAGCAGGGAGATGACGCTGCCAATGCCGGCGCAGAGATCCACTTCCTTCAGTGGGCATTCCATCCGGCCGCCCCGACAGTCACTTCTGGACCTTTGGCTAGCTCTCATACCTCCACTATCATCTTCACCCAACTCGCCGCGTACCAGTTGCATGGCTCCTATGCCCAACCACACACGACTATTACGCACCATCTCGACCTAGCCGATGAGAAGGGTCTAGTTCTCATGCATGGCCAGATCATGCCAGACTCGGGCATTTCCTCCACTGACGCGACCTGGTTAGTTAGCTGTGTTCAGCGCTTCTATGATTTCGGTGGCCAGGCCAGTGGGCGCAAGGGTGAGCTGCTGCGCTCGTTCACCAAGGGAGATACCAATATCTTCAAGATCGAGGCGTTGTTGGAGGAGGCGGAGAAGTTGTAGACTATGTTAATCTTTTGATTCTAGCGTTGTATTACTTTTAACCTTTTCAAAATTTCTCCTGTTTTTTGGGATAGACCTAGAATACAGCAATACTATGTACGATAGTTGGCGTCGCTCATGATACTCATTATAGTCATCCCCACTGAGCCTTTGGCCAAGGGTTGGGGCTTCCTCTGTTCCTTGAAGCATGGAATTTTGTAAAACATGCCGTACATATGTTTGAGCAATAGGGGCTCTATACTGGAGTGAGCTGTTCCGCACCGGGTTGTCGGGCGGCTGCCTGAAGGCAAAGGAAGAAAGAGGAAAGAGCGCCGAGGCTCAAATTCAGGTCCATGATGAAATAGTCAGTTCATTAATCAGAGAAATAGGGTCTAGAAACATTGTATATTGAAAAATTAGAAAGCTGGGCGTTCTTGAGACCATCAACGGGGCCTTGTGATTGTGAGATAGTCAGAAAGTCAACCTCCTAACCCAACCGCCCTAAAACCAAAGCTGATAGGATATAACGCCCGTATAGAACCGAGGGACAAAACAACATCGTAAGCGCATAAATTTGGCGGAACATAACCTGTATGAATACAACACGCCAATGCCTAAGGCATCACGTACCTAACCGCGAAATAGAAGCAGAGCTGGGATATAAACAAGGCCTAGCATAGGCGAGCCAGGAAAGGGTTCGGCAAGACAAAAGAATTAATCGTTAATCTATGGCGGCAACAAGGGCAGCAGTGTCTGCAGTCACCTTTGAATCGTTGAGAAGAACCCGTGGCTTTTCTTTTGTAAAATGCCAAAGGGTTATTAGGGGATTGTAAAGGGGAAATGTAATTGTGTAGAAGAGAAGAGGCCCCAGGCAAAAGCCCGCATACTGAAGTCAGCCTAAAACGGTAGGTGACCCATGCAACAGGGGAGCATCTATTGGTCATGGTCGATGACTTCTTCCTTGATAAATGAATGGATGTGCTCGAAGTAGCCAGGTTCAGCAACACTGTCATTGTGGGCACCGTTCGGCAGAGTGCGCCAGACTTTGCGTTCAGATTGGCAAACAGCAAAGAGCTGAGTCATATTTGACGGTCTATACACGGTCTTTTGTCAGTTCTGTTTCCTTAAGAAGGTACTCATGAGGAAAACCTACGGGACGATTTCGTCCTTCAAACCGCTAAGGAAGAGGATGGGGACTTTGGTAATTTTAGGCAGGATATCCTCGCTTGGCCAATATTGGTGGCAAAAGCGAGCAAGGTATCGGGCGGGAGGGAAAACCCTACATGCAAGTTAGAAAAGGTGAGTGAAGTGACGTATATGGTAGCGAACATACGTCGGAATCAGCTTGCGAATACTCAAAAAAGTATTTTCAAGGATCAGGCCTCCAATATCCCCCTTGTCTTGGTTTTCAGCCACAAGATTGATGGCGACCGCTCCTCCTAGACTCTGCCCGTAAACTACAACCTTATTGTTGCTAGTCTCCGCTCGTTGTCGGATATAGTCGAGTCCAGTTTGCGCATCGATTTTTAGCCCTGCTTCATCCGGGACTCCGGTCGAGAGCCCGTAGCCTCGATACTCCAGCATAAGCACATTGCAACCTAGTATATCGAGTAGGACCCTTGCAATAGGAATCCGATGACCAATATTTCCGGCATTTCCATGGAACATCAAGACAGTAAGATCACCGGCAAGACCTTTCTTGGATGGACGAAGGAAGAGGGCATGTAGTGACTCTCCATCCGGGGTAGGAATCTGGAGCTCTTCGTAATTGTTGACCCCAAACTGTCGGGGTTTCGGTACATTGGTGCGCGCATCGGTAGGAACATTGCGAGGATAGATCAACTCACTGCACACGTGGTCAATTTCTAACTCATGCACATTATGAATATACTACACTACCAAACGAGCACACGAATTTGGATAGCACTAACTTTTGTTTGAAATACAAAAGGCCACTGGCAACAACTGCCAAGCCAGATGATGCCAAAACCGGTAGCCTTAGGTATTGAGCGGCACTGTTGGCCATACTGGTGATACTCCAAGACGGTGGGGGCGGCGGAGACTCGGACATTATACTGGACAGGAGAGTACGGGTAGATATGAACGTGCAGTATTTGATCGAACTGAGACACAACGGAGTTCAAAAGTCTAAAAGAGGTAAGGAGATAGCAAGGAAAATAACCCGGGGCCCAAGCTTTCAGGGAGGAGCTTTGGAAATGGGGTTCAATAGCTCCAGAGCCGGTAAATGATGGCGTCTCTGCGGACCGGAGCCCATGGCTGGGGGAAGTTGTTCAGGAGGCTTGCGGGGAGGCAGTGTCTGACCAATAGGACCGTTGTTGGTACTCACCGCCCGGCGGAACCAGCTTCAGCTGCCAACGTAACGCGTTCGCCTGCCTTGAGCTCCGTCAGAGCTCTTCGGAATATCCATTCCATTATCACCTCATCTCTCCTCCTTCCATCGGCCTTTACGACCTCGATACTCCCTTAGCTCACTGTTTTATTTCTATCGACGTACAGCAGCCGTTGCTTGTGCATCATTGCGAGCTACGCTTGACGTTTTCACGAAGTCCCACTATACTTTCTCCATCAGCCAATATGGTCGGTCACGGCGTCACGGGGGTGCTTGGTGAAGGTCAGATAGGTCCCCATCGAGACAAAGAGTGGTGTAGACGAACAGTGACTGATGATTCATGATAGATGGCATTCATGTTGATATGAACCACCTGAAGAGCGGCGAGGTCAAGTATGTCGTCACCCCGACTTATGATGGAGCCCTTCCGACATGTTAGCTAATATATCCTTCAATACAGCCTAGGTACCTCGATGTAAGTTCACAGGCTAGTCCTATGCTTTCGGATGGTGTGTTGACTAGGGATAGTATGGCGATCAACTTCAAAGATGGTGTTATATTAGGTGCCGACAGCCGGACAACGACGGGAGCTTACATTGCCAATCGAGTCACCGACAAATTGACGCAGGTTCATGATACTATCTGGTGCTGTCGATCTGGATCTGCAGCAGATACGCAAGCCGTGGCGGATATTGTTTCCTACCACCTCAACATGTATTCGATTACCAACAACGAGGCCCCCAGCACCCAGGTTGCCGCGTCGCTGTTTCAGGAGCTGTGCTATGAGAACAAGGATATGCTGACGTAGGCCCCCCTCTATACTCGGAGCAAAGAATCACCGCTAATCTGATTGGCTGCAGTGCTGGCATCATTATCGCCGGATACGATCCCCGACATGGCGGTCAAGTATATTCGATACCGCTTGGCGGATCCCTACACAAGCAGGCTTATTCCATTGGTGGATCCGGTTCGACCTACATTTACGGTTACTGTGATGCAAACTGGAAAGAAAACATGACAGAAGAAGAAGGCATTGACTTTGTCCGGGGAGCGTTGCGAGAGGCTATCAAATGGGACGGAAGCTCAGGAGGTGTGATTCGGCTGGTAGTATTGACGGCTAAAGGAGCTCAGAGACATCTCTACCTACCCGACACGGACTACACCGGGCCAGGTACCACCAACTGATGGATATAATCGTATTGAATGATGATGTGTTCGATATTTCTTTCTATTGAGCTGTGATCAGCTGTGAAAACCCCCATCTGAATAGCATAATAGAGGAACCATTGTGAACTTGTGTAAGGGTAGTAGAGTACCAGTGTGGAAGCCAACTCCACAAATGTCAAGTCGAGCGGATCAATAACGTCTTGCTGCTGAACAGTAGCATTTTAAGTTTATGACATTGGTTTCTCTCGCAGTCATATATGCTGAACTCCTTCCCTGCAGTTGAATTCTGTTCTATTATTAATTATTTATTCCGTCTTTCTTTTTTTTCAGAATTGTTATAGTAATCTTTCCATCATCCAAAAAGTAACAAGGAAGCATTTTCCCAAAACATGGCTCGGTGGAAACATCAATGTTGGGGGTGGGAAACCCGGAGAAGAGCGCTAATCCATAGATGATATCAATATTAATTGGGTTGGAGCAATAGGAGGGATAAAATTCAAGTCGTCGAGCACTATGACACAAAGTCACCGCCAATCGTTCTTCGCTCATCCACACACCTGCGCGTCCGGAGACTCGTCATTGGTCTATGCACCGAGACTATCCAGTCGACGATCAGGATCCGGGCCGTTGTAAGTAAGTAGTACATAGTAGACAAGTAATAGTCCCCTTGGGCTAGAACTGAATTCTAACTTAGACTTTGTTGTAAGGGTCGACCACCCGCTGAGAAAGGTTCCACCCTTTCCTTGAGGTGATACGTCCCTACATATGATGAGATCAGTGGTCGGAGACTATTCTTGAAGAATAAAGAGTATTTTATA